AGTTAATTATTAACAGTTAATAATTAACAGTTAATAATTAACAGTTAATAATTAACAGTTAATAATTAACAGTTAATAATTAACAGTTAATAATTAACAGTTAATGGGATAATTAGTGAGATTTTTCCCCTTTAATTAAGGGGTTTTTTTTCCCCAAATTCGGGTTTTTTCCCCCAAAATTTCGGGATTTTTTGTCCTAAATTGTTTTTTTTCCCCCCGCAGGCGGCTGCCGGCGGCCGGAGGGGGCGGAGCCACGTGGGAGCCAATGGGAGCGCGGGGGCGGGGCTGCGGATGTTGGGCTGCGGGTCGGGCTCAGGCTCAGGTTTAGGCTCAGGTTTGGGCTCAGGCTCAGGATTAGCGGGATCGGAATCCGGATTGGGATCAGGATCAGGATTAGGCTCAGGATCAGGTTTAGTGGGATCAGGATCAGGATTAGGACTTGGATCAGGATCGGGATTAGGCTCAGGATCAGGTTTAGTGGGATCGGGATCAGGATCAGGTTTATTGGGATTGGGATCGGAATTAGGATTGGGCTCAGGCTCAGGATTAGCGGGATCGGGATCAGAATCCGGATTGGGCTCGGGATCAGGTTTAGTGGGATCGGGATCAGAATTAGGACTGGGCTCAGGCTCAGGCTCAGGATTAGTGGGACCGAGATCGGGATCAGGACTGAGATCAGGATCAGGATTGGGATCAGGATTAGGCTCAGGATCAGGTTTAGTGGGATCAGGATCAGGATTAGGACTCGGATCAGGATCAGGTTTATTGGGATTGGGATCGGAATTAGGGTTGGGCTCAGGCTCAGGATTAGTGGGATTGGGATCAGAATCTGGATTGGGCTCAGGATCAGGTTTAGTGGGATCAGGATCAGAATTAGGATTGGGATCAGGATTAGGACTGGGATCAGGATCAGGATTAGGCTCGGGATCAGGTTTAGTGGGATCGGGATCAGAATTAGGACTGGGCTCAGGCTCAGGCTCAGGATTAGTGGGACCGAGATCGGGATCAGGACTGCGATCAGGATCAGGATTAGGATTGGGATCAGGATTAGGCTCAGGATCAGGTTTAGTGGGATCGGGATCAGGATTAGGACTCGGATCAGGATCAGGTTTATTGGGATTGGGATCGGAATTAGGATTGGGCTCAGAATCCGGATTGGGCTCAGGCTCAGTTTTAGTGGGATCAGGATCAGAATTAGGACTGGGCTCAGGCTCAGGATCGGGATTAGTGGGACCGAGATCGGGATCAGGACTGAGATCAGGATCAGAATTAGGATTGGGATCAGGATCAGGTTTGGGCTCTGGCTCAGGATTAGTGGGATCGGGATCAGAATTAGGATTGGGATCAGGCTCAGGATTAATGGGATTAGGATCAGGATCGGGATCAGGTTTAGCGGGATCATGCTCAGGTTTGGGCTCAGGCTCAGGATTAGTGAGATCAGGATCCGAGTCGGGATCGGGATTAGTTGGACCGGGATCGGGATCAAGATCAGGATTAGTGGGATCAGGTTTAGTGGGACTGGGATCAAGATCAGGACTGGGATCAGGATCAGGATTAGTGGGATTGGGATTAGTGTTAGGATCGGGATCAGGATTAGTGGGACCGGGATCGGGATCAAAGTTGGGATCGGGATTAGTGGGATTGGGACCAGGATCAGGATTAGGACCAGGACCAGGATCACAGGTATCAACACTGGGACCAGGATCAGATTTAGAACCGGGATTAGGATTAGGATCAGGGCGACCCCCACGTGACCTGGGTTGGGCGGTGCCAGCTGGGCTCGGCCTTGACCTGACCTAGCAAAGCTCAGCCTAGAGCCTGGCGGGCAACGCCCGGCTTAGGGATCAGCTCCCAAAGCCCGGCTCAGCCTCGATACTACCCAGCAGAGCTCAGCTCAGGGCTGTCCTAGCAAAGCTCGGCCTTGATATTACCCAGCAAAGCTCAGCTCAGGGCTGTCCTAGCAAAGCTCAGCCTCGATATTACCCAGCAGAGCTCAGCTCAGGGCTGTCCTAGCAAAGCTCGGCTTCGAAAATATCCAGCAAAGCTCAGCTCAGGGCTGTCCTAGCAAAGCTCAGCTCAGGGCTGTCCTAGCAAAGCTCAGCTCAGGGCTGTCCTAGCAAAGCTCAGCTAGAACTTCACTATTGCCCAGCAAAGCCTGGCTTAGAGCCCTTCTAGCCATGCTCAGCTCCAGCGTTGCCTAGCAAAGCTCAGCTCAAAGCTGCACTAGCAAGGCTCAGCTTAGAGCTGCCATATTAGCTAGAAAAGCCTGGCTTAGCGCTTGGCTAGCCGTGCTTGGCCTCGGTGTTATCTCCCTAAGCCCGGCTCAGCCGTGCAAAGCCCAGCTCAGACTTGAGCTGGACCAGCCGCGCTTACCGAGCCGTGCTAGCTGAGCTCAGCCTTGATATTACCCAGCAAAGCTCAGCTCAGGGCTGTGCTGGCAAAGCTTAGCTTAGAACTGTAATATTGCCCAGCAAAGCCCGGCTTAGAGCCCTTCTAGCCATGCTCAGCTCCAGCGTTGCCTAGCAAAGCTCAGCTCAAAGCTGCACTAGCAAGGCTGAGCTTCGAGCTGCCATCTTAGCTAGAAAAGCCCGGCTTAGCGCTTGGCTAGCCATGCTCGGCTTCGGTGTGATCTCCCTAAGCCCGGCTCAGCCTTGAGCTGGACCAGCCGCGCTTACCGAGCCGTGCTAGCTGAGCTCAGCTTTGATATTATCTAGGAAAGCTCAGCTCAGGGCTGTCCTAGCAAAGCTCAGCTCAGGGCTGTGCTGGCAAAGCTTAGCTTAGAACTGTAATATTGCCCAGCAAAGCCCGGCTTAGAGCCATTCTAGCCATGCTCAGCTCCAGCGTTGCCTAGCAAAGCTCAGCTCAAAGCTGCACTAGCAAGGCTCAGCTTTGAGCTGCCATATTAGCTAGAAAAGCCCGGCTTAGCGCTTGGCTAGCCGTGCTCGGATTCGGTGTGATCTCCCTAAGCCCGGCTCAGCCTTGAGCTGGACCAGCCGCGCTTACTGAGCCGTGCTAGCTGAGCTCAGCCTCGATATTACCCAGCAAAGCTCAGCTCAGGGCTGTCCTAGCAAAGCTCAGCCTTGATATTACCCAGCAAAGCTCAGCGCAGGGCTGTCCTAGCAAAGCTCAGCCTTGGTATTACCCAGCAAAGCTCGGCTCAGGACTGTCCTAGCAAAGCTCGGCTTCGATATTATCCAGCAAAGCTCAGCTCAGGGCTGTCCTAGCAAAGCTCAGCTTTGATATTATCCAACAAAGCTCAGCTCAGGGCTGTGCTGGCAAAGCTTAGCTTAGAATATTGCCTAGCAAAGCCCGGCTTAGAGCCCTTCTAGCCATGCTCAGCTCCAGCGTTGCCTAGCAAAGCTCAGCTCAAAGCTGCACTAGCAAGGCTCAGCTTAGAGCTGCCATATTAGCTAGAAAAGCCCGGTTTAGCGTTTGGCTAGCCGTGCTCGGATTCGGTGTGATCTCCCTAAGCCCGGCTCAGCCTTGAGCTGGACCAGCCGCGCTTACCGAGCCGTGCTAGTTGAGCTCAGCCTTGATATTACCCAGCAAAGCTCAGCTCAGCGCTGTCCTAGCAAAGCTCAGCCTTGATATTACCCAGCAAAGCTCAGCTCAGGGCTGTGCTGGCAAAGCTTAGCTTAGAACTGTAATATTGCCCAGCAAAGCCCGGCTTAGAGCCCTTCTAGCCATGCTCAGCTCCAGCGTTGCCTAGCAAAGCTCAGCTCAAAGCTGCACTAGCTTTGAGCTGCCATATTAGCTAGAAAAGCCCGGCTTAGCGCTTGGCTAGCCATGCTCGGCTTCGGTGTTATCTCCCAAAGCCCGGCTCAGCTGTGCAAAGCCCGGCTCAGCGGTGAGCTGGACCAGCCGCGCTTACCGAGCCGTGCTAGCTGAGCTCAGCTTTGATATTATCTAGGAAAGCTCAGCTCAGGGCTGTCCTAGAAAAGCTCAGCTTTGATATTATCTAGGTAAGCCCAGCTTTGAGCTGTTCTTAGAAAGCTCAGTTTCAAGCTTTGCCGGAAAGTCTCAGCTTTACGCCGCGCCAGCTCAGATTTGAGGCTCTCGAGGTTAAGCCTGGCTTTGAGCCGTGCCAGCCGCACTCGGGGTTGGGCTTGTCTAGAAAAGCTCAGCTTTGATGTGTTCA